CGACAAACTTGACGAAATCATTGTAAGAAAAAAATTATTACAACATCAGTTAACACAATTGTACTGGTTTGGAAAACACTTCAAATAATGACAACGACAAGTTTATTGAGATACACGACATCAGAATATCACTTCTTGATAAATGTAAATGGAAACACAACCAATTGAATATTAAATCAATATAATTGTCCAAACAAATAATAACAAAGTTGATAAAACATTCAAATCAAAAAACAACAATTCTAAAAGAAAACATGAAAAATAAATAATGAAACGAGAACACATCACATTTAAAGAGTAAAACAGTTTTAAAAAGTCAATAGATATGAAGATTATGAGTGTTGTGTTTGAATCGGGCAAAGACAATTTGTCACAATGTATTTCTATGTTTGATGCAAAAGGAATGAACAAAAGCAATTTGTGCTTTTTCGAGAGAAGACACAAATCACAACAAGTTTGGTGGTATGTACTCGAGAAATATCAATACTATTGACCATTGGCTCGACGGTGGCAGTTCTTACACTTTTTCGCTTGTGAAAAGTGGCACTTCAAATCCAAAGAGATTGAGAAGTGTGGAAATAATAACAATTATTATTTTTATCTACATTCTTAAAACAGTTCATATTACTTTGGATTTGGTAATGGTCATTATATGGCAGTGTACAAGAAACGTACTGATGAAAACAATTGCGACCTATCCACATACAATGTTAAACAAAAAGAGTTGATTGATAATTGCAATTTCACACAAAAAGTGTTGTTGTCTACAACTTATTTGCCTTATTTGTTGTTTTGTGTTTTGTGTGCATTTCAAACATTTGTAACATGTTAGTTACAAAAGCGCCAATATTGTATTTTTGCCAAACATTTTTTATTGCTTTGTACATTTTTTTGTAATAAAATAAAAAAATTCTTCATTCTATCTTGTGAATTCTATTTGTTAAATAGAAAATTACATACTCTAAGAAAAATCAAAGTCGTACTGTCCAATTCTTATTTTCTATTTCATTATAAATAAACAGTCAAAGGCGTCTATTTGTCGTGAATAAGTGAATTTGGGAAGAGCATCTTTTGAACCAGGAAATACACAAAATTACACAGAACATGAGAATGCGAAAAGGGGGCGAAAAAATAGTTGATGAAGACAACTACTCTGATTCATGCAAACCAGCTTATTATAAGCTTTGTCAGTAGTAATTGAATTCTTAGTGAGTATCAAATAGAAAAAATAAGAAATCTATTTTTAGAAGTGGTGATGGTAATGCAAAAAATACATTAAATTCTAAATATAATTTTCTCTTTATATATAGATTATACTCGTAAATTAATCTTTATACTAATTATTTCCACTGTTCGTAGTTTGCTATTATGACAATTACATAATATTAATGTTAATAATAAAAACAAATTTTTGAACCAAAAACAACCAAAAAGTAACTTGAAATGTGATCATCAAGACAAATACCAAAGCTACAACATTAATTCTCAATGATTCACTTTTGTTCATACCAACCTTACATCCAGTGTCGCCTTGTTTGCATGGCGTATTGTATGTGTTTTCAGAAATAATAAATTCTCTTTACATTTATCTCATTTTTTGTTGTGCACATCTTTCAATTTGTTATTAAACTTATCACATTTTGTTTGTTAACAAAAAAAATTCCATCTCACATTTTAACACGGTTCATTGTTCTTCCTTCCAACATTTTTGGTGAAACACATTCTTGACAACCAGTCAAAATTATGAACACTTTGCATTTCTTGAACGATTTCTCTGCACCAACTTTTAAATGCTTTTATTTACAACTGTTTTTCACACACTTTTAGTGGCTTCAATAATCAAAGCATCGTCTTTTCGAACAATTAACTCGTTTTTTCGTTGAACATCTTGTTATTTTCAATATGAGAGGTACACACTTTTGTGGTTTGTAATTAAATAAAAAAAATATCGACAATAAGTACAATATAATTTATTTTATTAATATATATTGTATAATTGTGATTTCTTTGTTAGAAAATACACATTATTCATTTTAAATAAAACTAATATTTAGTTTCTCAATTTAACGTTAATCAAGACCATCATTCCAAATATTATTTAGATTAAGTTCGAGTAATAAAAAACTTCAGTCTAAATATTTCTGTTTTTAAATCAACAATACTTATTTTTAATCACTCATTTACACAAGAAAGCGTGAAATATAAGTCACAATTATTGTTTGAGCTACAACAAACATCTTTAACACAAAGTATCATTAGTTATTAAATACAAACAAATTAAATGGTATTGTTGATGTAATCTAAATAGGGTATTTCGTCATCATTAATTATGTCAACAAATTTATCCAAAAATATGCAATAAGTTTTTTAATGTTTCAAAAACGATGTTATGAAACACACAGTTATTGTTGATAAATTAGAATTTGTTTCAATTTGAGATGTTAAATAATTTGATTTCAAATTTTAAAAATAGAATTAAATGATTTGATGTTGTGTTGATGATTTTTAACTATTTTTTGGTTATAGTTTTCAGAATTTAATTTTAATTAGAGATAGTAAAAGTACTCTGTGTGTGGTGTGTTAATATTTTTGTGTTTTTTACTGTAATATTTCAAATGTTCATTTGATACAATTTGATTGCTAAACAAATTCAAATCTATCATTTTTTTCAGATATGAATATTTTATTTTAAATTGTTGTTGTGATTTAAAAAAACAAACTATTTTCAAAACTACTCTCTTACATCCTCACATTTTTGAACGTTATACATTTTTATTAATTAATAACTAGACAACTTTGTAATTTAAAATAGAATTGGTTGATTGCATTGTCAGTAACATTTAAATAAAAATTGCTTTAATTTGAATTCGGTCATTTTTTTGTCATCAGATTTTTTTTACACAACAACCACAAAATACATCAACATAAATAAACAGCACTCATTAAGGTTTCAATTATTACAAATACTTTTTATTTGATTATTCTGATAACATTTCTGTCGACCTGACTACTATAATAAAATGTATGAATGTTAGATTTTTTATTAATTTTTGAATAGAAAGTTTATAAACAATTATAATTTGTCTATACGTTTATTACTTACTGAATGATCAATTATAAGCAACTTTATTAATTAAAACAAATTTTACAAATAAAAAACGATGAACTAACAATGTAATCGATCAATTATATCCCAGCGACTTCTTCTTTATTTCTTCTTCAATCTTCATTTTATTTCCTTTGTGTCTTTCTCTGTATCATATTTATAATATAAATATTATAAATATAAGCGCTCACACCTCTATGATTTGTTGGGTAGACTGTTATTTGTGCCGTATAAGCGCTATTTATTTGTTTTATTGATTTTTTTATTCAGTCTAACTTTATTTAAACAACAAAGAGGGACTCCTTTATTGTTATAAAAGAGTCACAATGGCAATGACTATTTGACAGGGATATATTGTCCAATTACATTGGTTGCCGACTATGTACAAGCCGGCGTCTATATGAATGATCACTTTCTGTATGGTTAATACTTTAAATGTTAAAACAAGCAGAAACAACCTGTGTGCAATAATAATGATGTTGTGTAACCAAATGGGGAAGTGCACCTTGTTTTCGTTTGGTGTTGATTAAAGAGAGAGTATATGTTAATACTAATACTGTTAATTGTACATCAATGACGCCTTAGTTGTTGGTTGTATTTGTTTATATATAATAAACATACAGAGAATTACAAGCTTTGAATGTATGCTTGCAATTTTAGACATATACATTTGGTTAAATACAGCATATTCGTTTTCGAGATATAATACATATTTACTTCAAGTAGCCATGTTAATCAATGTGTTTAAATATCAAATTCTTGCTTTATGTATTGTTTAATTTTCTCTTTTTAAATTTCTTATTTATCATCTACCAAAAATACGGTATTCTATTATTACAATGTCAGAATACAAGCTAATTGGATCTTTGTATGCCATCTCTTGACTTTTAGTTTTTTAAATTGTATTCAATGTGTGTTAATGGTTTTATTATAGTTTTCATAATAATATCACACAAATATTAAATAAAAATTATGAAGTTTATGCTTCTATTCAAAAAATCGAAACAATGCCACCACATCTCCGTTTTTTGTTATCCAATTGTTTGTATTGTGTTTTTATTTGAATATTAAAATCAAAGCATTTAAAATTCAGGTAGAAGGTATTTTGTGAAAAAATACACTTAAATTTATTTTTAAAATACACAGTTTTGTTTTCAGAATTATATATTTCAATGTTTTATTGATGTCGTTGTTGCAATTGGATGTGATATTTTAGCGATTTTAAAATATTTATAAAAATTAATTATATTTACTATTATATTATTATTTATATTTTTACTTATATTTACTATTAAAAGCTATTTTTATATATATTTAAATAATAAAATTATTTTTTTGTTTTTCTGTATTTTTACATCTAAAGTAACTGTTATTCGAAAAGTCAAAAAATAAAATATGTCTTTAAAAAACAACAAAATATTGGTTTTCATTCAATTCCAACTATTTCATTATTCCAAAAATACAATTTAATAAGTTTATCAAAATATTATAATTATTTTTATTATTTGAATCAAAAAATACAATAATTTTTGTTGTTAAATTAAATTATACTAACAACAACACTTATCACTGATATGATTGTAATTTCAATATTAAAAACATACGAAAAATACAACAAAAAAATTCAAGACTTGTTTTATTTTTAAACTCAACAACATGAATCAATTATTTGTCGAATTAATTATATTTTAAAATAAATTGACAAATAAATCAAAAACTT